CAAAACCTTTTACGGATCTCAAATTACGAGGACGACCCCCCAGTGCTTCGGTGCCCGAAGTAGACAAAAACACTCGCAGTTGTCGTAAACTTTTATTGGCGTATCATGGTACTAGAACGTACTGAATACGTGCCTATGTTACGGCTAAACAACGCAAGCAAATAAATGCAGTAGCAAATCGAAAGCGTGTCACACGTGTTGCGTGGGTTAGAATAGGACCCACCTTACACACACATGTGAGCGGAAAACCGTGCTCAGTAAAACACAGACAGTTGAGCAAAACAAAAAGAAATATCACAGTAACCGTCGAAGTTGATTGTGAAGAAAATATGAACGGAAGACATCTTCCTGTATTACCCTTTTTCTTCGTACGATGATCGTTACTGCACCTCCAATACTACTCTCTTTTCATTTCAAACTTCGCCACGAAGGCTCAAACGCCGTATGTCGCTCAATCAGTAGCAGAATGGAATCGAACCGCAAAGTGTGAACAAATTCTACGGGGAATCATCTAGATGATAACATAACACCCAGAACTTGACCTGTTTTCTCTGGCGAAACACCCTAAGTTAATTACGGAACATCGCGGAATGGGGATATCCGCAGAGGCAAAGAGAAGCTTCGGCCGTAAACCGGGCTGTTCGATGCCTGCACAAATTTCCGTTTGAACTGTTTCTCACCATTATGACCGATCACCAAGTACTGCAATAAATGTTCCGACAAAAAAATCGATTTTCAAATCGACGGCGGCGATGATTCGGCGATGAAACATTGCACTGAGTGCTTAAGACTACGACATAGTGCACCATCCAGGCAAAATAATTCCTCAAGTTGATTTCCGCCCTCGAATATCCAGATTCTCAGTGGCTAAGAACTGTCGTTTCACAGCATTAGCTGCTCCGGTACCACGAGAGTTGTCCAGATGCATCAAGCGCTACTACGCAGAGGTCATAACGGATCGGATCCGAAGAGGAGACAGAGTTTTGGGTATCCGTATAATAAGTTGTCGACCTCCATAGAATACGTTGTCTGGGGCATGTTACGCATATCATCAGATAGGTTGCCACGGCGAGCGATGCTTGTCGATGCAGGTAATGGGTGGACAAATATTAAGGGTAGTCAACCTAAGACCTGGCACGAGGGTATGGAATCCCTAACCAGGAGTCTGGATCACATAGGTCCCGTTAGGCTCCCGGGTTGGAGACCTCGGGATGATTGTAACCGATGGTTAGAGACAGTGAGTGATATGGCTAAATGCTGCAAACAGTGACATTCGTCTGTCTTCTCAATTTTCTTTGCAACCTTAGACCACTGAAATTATCCATTTTCTGTTCTTCTCTACTTTCAGCTTTCTTGTCATCTCCTATTCATCATCAAGTGGGCAGCCAAAAGACAGCAATCAAAAGCGGTGCACGATAGTGCGTGGTTAATGTTTGTACAAATTGAAACTGAAACTGAAGAGGAGACTCCGACCGCTGTACGTTCACCTGGAAGAAATCAGTGAACAACTTGTTGGAGTCCGACTGATTATTCCACCTCCATTACCCAAGGCATTGCGAGAAGATCTGCACAAAGGCTACTTAGGGGTGTAAAGGATGAAGCTGGTGGCACGACAAATGTGTTGGTTGACCGGCCTAGACGAAAAAATCGGTCGAACAGCTAAGCATGCTTGCACAGGTAAAAGTCAAGACCGGGGAATTGGGCATCATGGCCAGAAAGCAGTATACCTTGACAACGGGTGCATGCCGACTTATAGGGGTCATTCCTCGGCCATTAGTATGCACCTGTGCTCATCGATCCATATTCCAATTGGCCCGAGATGTTTCTATCCAGTATTCCGACCCCATCCTTTGTAATGCAGACTCTACGACAGTATTTCTGTCGAGACTGAGTTCCACAAGGTTTACTGACCGACACTACTCTTGACCATTTTCCATCCGCTACTGTCTCGACAAACATCACTCGCCGTGACAATCTATTTATCTCAACCGATTCAGTCTACGGGGGTCGACCACATGCTCCAGTGGGTAACCTTGATCACCTAAAACTCTGCAGCTAACCTCATCATTAATTGTCCAGTTACCCAACCAGACTAGTATAATGCTGCGTAGACGCGGTATTCAAACACCGATAGTCTATCTTTATCCTGTTTCCTTGATGGCCAAGTTTCTGTGCCGTACATCAGAACAGGCCGACCTGTCGTGGCACATGTTCGATCCTTCACAAACAACCGGATGTCCCGACCGCGCTACAGGTGTCTCAAGTTAGTTATTACCATTCGCGCCTTTTGTATGCGAGCTGACAACTCATCTGTGATGCGTCCACCGGATTAGATGTAGCTGCCAAAATAAGAGAATTAAGAGAGATCACGATCAATGGGACTATATTCTGCCAAGTGCAACCGAATTCGGGGAGACTTGATTTGACGTATTAGATACTACAGACCCATCCGTGTCGACCGTTGCTCATGTTATCGAACAATATACAACTTTGGGGACACCGTTTCAAGTTACTGATTCCAAAGCGTCGACTGGAATACCGGCACCAATCTATTGCCGTCAGAGTATGCAGTACTTCCATCTCACGTCGTTTGTACACCTACTATTGAATCTTTAAGGCACAGGCTTGATGAAACTTTGGTACACCTCACATCCCTACACCACTCAAAGCAAACTCAAATTCACTGAAGCCTACATTCTTTATTACCTCCTACCTGGAACTCTATGTGACTTCTTGTTCGGTGTGAAACGATTCAAATGTGTAAATATCCCTTGGAGACAAGAGAAGCACGAGCTTATAAGTTATTCCCATAATAAAACTTTGACTTGGACCTTAGACGGTGTCAAATGTCTACGGTGCTCAATAAACCTCGACGCCCAATCCAGCCGGTGATCACTGTCACAACCGGGAAGGTGTCGGTGTGGTTCGTACGCCTCCTCTTGATTGTTTTGCAATCAAGGTTTTTCGCCAACTCCCTAGGTGAACTTCCTGGGGGTTCACTAACTCGGTTCTAACACAGGCTATTGGC